GGATGAATTCTTTCCTGCTTCCTTTCAGGTAAAGGATCTCAACTCGGGAATCCCGTTGCTCCAAGGCAGAACTAAAAACGATCTCTATGAATGGCCAGTCACAGTTCCTCCAGCAACAACTTTGTTTGCATCACCATTTGCTCAGGCCACTCTCACTTCTTGACACTCACGTCTTGGCTATCCGTCTGCATCAATTTTAAACAATGTCGTCTTCAGTTATTCTCTTCCCATTACCAAACAATCTCTAAAACTTATGCCTTGCTCATATTGTTTGACCAATAAAAGTCATAAACTATCATTTTCAAACTCTACGATAACCTCTACTAAACCTCTACAATACCTGTATTCCGATGTCTGGAGTTCCCCGATTCTTTCTCTTGATAACTACAAATTATGTCATCTTTGTCGACCACCACACTCGTTACACTTGGTTTTATCCCATGAAACAGAAATCTCATGTCAAAGATACATTCATTGCCTTCAAAAACCTGGTAGAGAACCATTTTCAAACAATAATCGGCACATTATATTCAGACAATGGTGGGGAATTCATCGCTTTACAACAATATCTGCTGACCAGTGGTATCTCGTATCTTACTTCACCACCACATACTCTGGAGCATAATGGACTCTCTGAAAGGAAGCATCGTCATATTGTAGAGATGGGAATGACTGACTCTAATGTCTTCAGCTTCGATTCCGAAGAAATATTAGCATTTCGCGTTCACCACAGCTACATATCTCATCAATCGATTACCGACGCCGGTTCTTCAAATGCAGACCCCTTTTCATAAACTCTTTGGCGTTGCTCCTAACTATACGAATCTGCGTATTTTCGGTTGCTCATGTTACCCATGGCTCAGACCGTATAACAGACACAAGCTTGAAGATCGATCTTTGGTGCGTTTTTTGGGGGTACTCAACGGCACAGAGTGTGTACTTTTGTCTCCACATCGCAACAGGGCGAATTTACACATCGCGTCATGTTCACTTTGATGAAACGACATTCCCTTTTGCCGATACTCTCTCCGTTTTCTAACCAGTTGCAACCACAACCGGCAATAATGATTCAGCATCGCCACCTCACACGGTGATTCCAGTCACCTCTCTAGTTCTGCCGGCGGGATCCCCGGGTTCTGACCTTCACCCCGACTCATCACCGTCTCCGCTGCAGCAATCCCCCAGGTATCGCACTCTAACTCTAACTCTCATTCTCCTCCTCCTATCAATTATGAGCCCACTGCTCCATCTCAAAATGGACAGCAACCCACGACCCAACAATCAACACAATTAAATACAACCTTAATCCAGATCCAAATATTGCCAAACCCACCTTTACCAAACCAGACCCAAATATTGCCAGACCCAAACCAGACCCATATATTGCCAAACCTACATATACCAAACCAAGTAAATCAACCACGAAGATCATCTCGTCATCAGCCAAATCTTCAACCCCGAAAAACCACCAGAACCAAAAAGCCGTCGACTTCCTCTCGCTAAAATCAGCCTCAAACAACATCTCAATCAAACACTGCCAACAATAATGATATGTCAACACGAGCCAAAGGAGGTATCCGCAAGCCGAATCCTAAATATCTCAACCACATCGAAACAGTGTTGAGTTATATTGATGAATCCATGACAGTAAATCAAGCGATGCAGGATGAACGATGGCGACATGCGATGGGATCTGAATACAATGCACAAATTGGTCTCCGCAGTTGGGACCTGGTTTCTCCTCCGCCGTCTCACGTCACCATTGTTGGCTGCCGCGGAGTCTTCACCAAGAAATACAATTCCGATGGCACTCTAAATCGCTACAAAGCCAGACTTGTCGCGAAGAGATACAATCAAAAGCCCGGTTTAGATTACGCAGAGACTTTCAGCCCGGTGATTAAAACTACTACAATACATGCTGTCATTGGCATTGCGATTGATAAATCTTGGCCAATTCGTCAATTAGACGTCAACAACGCATTCTTACAAGATACCTTGACGGATGAAGTCTACATGTCTCAATCTTCAGGGTGTGTGGATAAAGATAGACCCGATTACGTTTGTCGACTTCGAAAAGCTATATACGGGCTCAAACAGGCTCCTCGCTTGTGGTATGTTGAATTACAGAGCTATATCCTCTCGGTTGGTTTCGTAAACTCTGTTTCCGATACATCGCTATTCATTATGAGGCAAAGCTCATCCATTCTCTACATGTTAGTTTATGTAGATGATATTATTGTCACTGGAAATGATAGCTCTCTACTTCATCATACGCTAGAAGCTCTTGCTACAAGATTCTCAGTCAAGGATCATAAGGAACTCCATTACTTTCTTGGTGTTGAAGCTCGACGTACATCATCAGGTATTCATCTCAGTCAAAGAAAATACACGACAGATCTTCTAGCTCGAACAAAAATTCTTCATGTGAAACCCGTACTAACACCAATGGCTGTTTCTCCAACACTCTCCCTCCACTCGGGCACGTGTCTCACTGATCCGGCAGAGTACATAAGTGTCCTTGGCAGTTTACAATATCTTGTTTTCACAAGACCGGATCTGTCCTACGCTGTTAATCGTCTGTCACAATATATGCATGCCCCAACTACGGATCATTGGCAAGCTGTGAAACGTCTTCTCCGGTATCTAGTTGGTACTTTGAATCATGGTATTTTTCTTTGCAAAGGCAATACCACCACTCTACATGCGTACTCTGACACTGATTGGACAGGTGATAGAGATGATTATGTGTCCACAAACGGATACATTGTCTATCTTGGCTCACATCCTCTCTTTTGGTCATCCAAAAAGCAAAGAGGCATTGCCGGATCCTCTACTGAAGCAGAGTACCGAGCAGTAGCAAACACAGCAGCTGAAGTGAAATGGTTATGCTCCTTATTTGGGGAATTAGGCGCTCAAATCACAATACCACCAGTCATCTACTGTGATAACGTTGGAGCGACATATCTCTGTGCAAATCCAGTTTTCCATTCTAGGTTGAAGCATATTGCATTGGATTACCATTTTGTCAGAAATCAGGTTCAATCAGGATCACTCAGAGTAGTTCACGTATCGACTAAGGATCAGCTGGCAGACGTCTTGACGAAACCACTCTCTCGGGCTGCATTTCAAACCTTCTCGGGCAAGATTGGTGTTACTACCGTCCCCCTCCATCTTGAGGGGGCGTATTGGGATAGAATCAGATCAGTGATTGAATAATCAGATCAAGCTGATTGAATACATTACGGAACTACATTTGTATAGTATATATTTACACTAATTACTGATAGATACTCTAAATACATATCCTCTATATATACTCTCTTCCTCTCTAATAAGATAATTATCTTCTACATTAATCTTTTTTTTTGTCAAACAAACTCCATATATTAAATCAAATTATACCAGTTTGGTGGTGAGACCAATCCGGTTGATTATGATTTACATGGGATAAGAGTAAATTATGCATTCGTGCACTTTTTGCTAGTCGATCGCACGAACATTTTGCAAATGAGGAATAAACCGTAAACTAAAAACCACAAAGTCCAACCGCAAAGCATCCAAATAGTCTAGCTCCGATGTAAAAGCAGCCAGTCGATTGGCTCTTCAACCATCTTAATCAAGTCTGAGCAGTCTGTCTCGAATCTGACCGCGACACACCCCCTCTCCCGCAGGCATGACATTGCCCAGAGAAGGCCTTCCATCTCTGCATGTAAAGGCGATAGGCATCTCCAGCACCCCTTCGAGCCATACCAGCGACTCCCCGATCCATCCTCAAAGAACCACTCTAAACCGCTAGTCAGACCATGGCCTATCCATGATGCATCGACTTGGCAGAAGGGTCCGGGGAGGGGTGTAGTGATGAGGGTCCGGATACCTGCGGGCGTGGGGAGATCCTCTTCGTCTCCTTCCTCATGCTGGTTTGCCAGTCTCCAGCTTTCTGCCTCGAGGAAGGCGGATTGGAAAGTGTCTGACGGGTGAATTACTTTGTTCTTGAAAACTTTTTCATTTCTTGCTTTCCAAATATACCATAAGATCTAAGGATAGATATCCTTTTGGGGTCCAAGAGGACCCCTTTCTTTTGCTCTCCAAAATAGAAAATCTATATTTTGGTATAGAGACGTACTCGGGAAGTAACCCGGAAGTGATGAAAATATTGAGAAGGCCCAGACTCGTACCGCCAGCGAGCATTCGAAGAGAAGATGATTTATTGTTTCTTCTGGTGCACCACACCTTGGGCATGAGGCCTCCACATTAATATGGCGATATTTAAGGCGTTCGCAGGTAGCCACACATTCAGATAAGGCTTGTCACATGAAGTGTTGGAGTTTGCTAGGCGATTGTACTTTCCATACATGGCTAAGGAGGAGTGTAATGCTTGGTTCAGAGGCTCCTCATATTTTTTTGTTGGCCTGTAATATTCTTGCTTGGTGATAACCAGATTTAACCGTATAAACTCCTGATTTCGAATGGCTCCATGCATACTCATCGATGGAGAAGATTCGACTTGACCGCAACTTTAGAATCAGGAGAACATCATTTGGATGGAATAATTCTACTAGACGTTTCTTATCTCATTTTTTTGTAGAGTGTGTTATTAAATCATGGACTAAAGCTGAGTATCTCTTCTATAGTCTCATTCTACATTAATCTATATTAAATGCTTTTGTCTATAGTCCTGAATAAGCCTTATCCAAAAACACAAAGACCACCGTGATCAGATATCAAAGAAAGCATTTCAATTATTTGTTTTATTAAATTATTATACACAGTATCTGAAACAAATAGGTGTGTGTGTGGGTGTGAGCAACCGTGTGATTGATGCTCTGCTATATTTCGTCACACTCAGACACAAAGCACGAACTTTGTTATAGCCAAATAAAAATTAAACACAAAACAATTTCAATCGAATTCTCTTTGTCTCTGCAAATCCTGTTTCTTTGATCTTATCGGAGACGTAATCCCGATCTCGTCTTCCGTATCGATCGTCGATGGAAGTAGAGGAAGAAGTTAAACGTCTTGTGGAGGAGATTAAGGAGCTCCATGACTCTGCCTCTTCCTTCATCTCTTCTTCTTCTCAGCAAGAGCTCACCCTCCGGCAAAAAGCCTCCGCCTTTGACTCCTCCTTGCGCCGCCTCCACTCCACTCTCGTCTCTGACAAGCGTCTCGATCCTAAGCTCGTGGAGAAGGCATTATCTCAATCTCCATTTTCCCCCATTTCTTTGATTTCTCGAATCCTAAAAATTGCTTCTTCTTTTTCTTCTCTTTTCGTTCTGCAGCTTGAGGAAGATCTACATCGTGCTAGATGCATGCTCGCCGATGGAGATATCTCTTCGTTTCTCCCATCTAAACCCCAAGGTTCGTTCTTTCTCTCTCTCTCTCTCTCTCTCTCTCTCTCTCTCTCTCTCTGATCAAAATGTCTAATTTCGAATTCAATTTGGGGTTTCGATTCAATCTTGTGACCCAATTGTTTGATTGAAGCAGGACGATTCGTGAGAATGTTTCTGGGTCCTGTGAATGTTCGAGCCTTGCGTAAAGACATTAGGCTCAAAGTTAAAGAAGAATACAATAGCTACAGAGTTAGTATTTTTTTGCTTGCATGTCGATTTTCTTCATAACTTTGTTTTGCTTACTCTCGGGTTGTTGAATCAATGACGTTTGCTTGTTTGTTTTCTATGGAACAGGACAAGACAGCTCTTCTTTTTCTGTTTTTCCCTGCAGCACTTTTGATCCTTAGATCTTATTACTGGGATGGATGTTTGCCTGCGTTTCCTGTTCAGCTCTACGAGGTAATGACTGACTTGGGTTGCTTAAGCATTGTATATGTGTTGGTGGGATGTTGGATTAATGTGTCAAGTCTCTTCCTTTTTACCAGGCTTGGCTGTTGTTCCTCTATGCTGGGTTAGCTATGCGTGAGAACATATTAAGAGCTAATGGGAGCGATATCCGTCCATGGTATCTTCAGTCGAATAATGATCTCTTGAGTTTCTCTTTCGCTGTTACTATCGAATGCTTTTGAATCTGGAGAGTTCTTGGTGCATCTCTTATGCTAGATTTGGAAAGTTGTAGGGCATAAATTTGAAGACTGCAATATGTTTCTGAGAGTGTTGTCTCGTTTATTGAGGTCGTTGGACATAAATTTTAATTCCGGAGATGTGTCATGATGTTGAACTTAGGTCCTATCCTCTCACCAAGCACAGTGTAGTTTTATGAAAATCATAGGACATAGCGTAGTCTATGAAATTATATGTTTTTAAGAATGATATGTTCATGTTACATATTGATCTTAGGTTCTATATTCACCAAGCACATCGGCTGCTCTGATGGTCGTTTAGTTTTTTGGGGTGTCATCTTTTTTGGTGTGACTGATTAATCTCATTATTCTAAGGTTTATTTATTTCTCCAAAATTGATATTTTTTTGTGTCTCGTTTTTACAGTTAGCAAATGATGGCTATCTTCTAACGAAGTGAAAATATAATCATGAATGTCACTTAAGATGGCTATGGTGACCATCTATGAGAATTACTAGTAACTGTTTATTGGTACCTGTTCACAGTAGAGTGAATCTTCTAATAAATCAGGGATATCCTAGCGAGAGTGAATATCTGGATTATCAATTTGAAATATAGTGTATCATGGCGATTGGCAAACATGTTGAAATTCTCCTCTAAAGTGTCTTTGATTTGGTATAGAAGCATAGACTTATGTTGAAAAAACGGTAGCGTCTTTCAAGTAAATATAAGATCTCTATATCTTTCGTGATTAAAAGTAAAGAGCTTAGCTTCGATGGATTCCTCTTTGGGTGGGGGATTTAGTATGTTATTACGTAGAGTAATCTCGTTATTTGTATTGATGTAGTGGTGTTTCGTTTGGCTTATCAAAGTATTATGATATGTTTTTCCAGGTGGCTATATCATCATTACTGTGCCATGGGTATGGCCCTTGTCAGCCTCACATGGGAGATCAAAGGTCAACCAAACTGCGTCCAAAAACAGGTTATGCATTTTCCTCTCTACGCAGACTAAAAGTTCACAAAGTAAAAATGTTATGAATGGTTTCAATCATCTACAGAGAGGAGTCCATCTTTTCCTACAATGGGCTATGATGCAAGGTGTTGCTATGCTTCTGCAAAACAGATACCAACGCCAAAGATTATACACTCGCATCGCACTAGGAAAGGTGTACTCTTTTTCTTTGTTCAGAAAATTTTTTATCCGCTTTCGTGAAATAACTCTCAAAGGCTTGCCTTGTGGTTATGTTTTCAGGCTAAGAGGATGGATGTTGTATGGGGAGAAACAGCTGGAGTTGATGGACAACTATGGTTGTTATGTCCTATACTCTTCATTTTACAGGTGAGCTTTTTTCTGTAGATGTAATGAAGTTAATGCTTAAAACATTATAAAGCTTTTCATTTGCTCATTGCTGGTTTCTTTATTTGCCTTCGTTTCTCATTAACCACTTTGAAACCCATCAAACAATATAGATTCTGTGTTGTCCCAAACATAAGTTTAAATAGATTTCATGATATTGATCTGCTTGTTAGATGGCTTGTAGCCTTGTACAATAGAACATCTTGAGGTTTTTCTGTTTTAACCTATTGTGCTTAAACATGTTTATGACTTTTGGTAAAACTTAGGGATTTGAAGCATATGTTGGAATGCAGCTGCTAAGAGCAGCATTAACAGGAGTTGTTGCTGAGTGGCAGGTATATTTTACCATGTTCAATAGAGAAAATAGATAGAAAGGAAGTAAAAGTAACAGAAATGTTGAGAGTTTTGTCAATGGTGTAATCTCAGGTGATGGTTTGTGGAATTCTTCTGGTAGTGATGGCTGTTGGAAACTTTATAAACACGGTAGAGACATTGATGGCAAAGTCAAGGGTTAAGGCAAAGATGAAGAAAAGTAAAAGCAGAGCAGAGCTTAATCAACAGACTTCATAGCTTCTCAACTCTGTGATCTCTTTTGTCTTTTTGCATTTTGATAAATTTTGTTTTGTTTAGGCCACGAAAGGCGCATCTTGTGATCTGAAAACTACGAAACATTCTGTGTAAATGGGAAGTGGCAGTTGATATTTGATGGATTTTATGTTGTGTTTGTACAAATTTCAACTGATATAGTTTGTATGTTTCTAAGTGTCAGATCTTGAAGATGGAATAAGACTTGTATCATTGTCATTCAGCTTTGTAAGAATTAGAACCAAACTAAACCGGACGTTTAGGCCTAGTTTTAAGTTTATAAGGTGTTTTGCTGCTATCTGTTTTGTCCAATTTTTAATGTCTAGGCATATTGAATGTTTTAAAAATCTTATTTCATTTCTAAAATGGTCTCATTAACTTCAAGACCAACAATTTTTCTAGTAATACATAATACTCAGTCACAATAACCATTTTATATAAGTTTGCTAAAAACTCTTTGTTTAAGTTGAATATCAGAGTAGATTGTCGGTGACTGGTGTGGGTGGGACTGAGTCTACAGTAGCATCTCTCACGTCTCCTCTGGGAAAGAAAGAGACAGAAGATCTAACTTTCCGATTTGACGACATTATCAAATAATGGAGAGCCAAAATAGTATTCTTTTTAAAAAGAAAATAGAAGTATTTTTTTTTAAAAGGGTATTGAGACAATGATTCTTGGACTGTTCGTTGTGATCAATGCGTGTGTTTGTGAATATATTAATATTTGATAATAATGATAATACATACTATGAGATATTAACATCTTGGTGAAGTGAACACTTTAACATACATGAACCTATGGTTCAAAAAAAAAACAAAAACATACATGAATCCATGCGTTAGCCGGTCTAACTATTTTAGTGGTCCAAAGCAAAAAAAAAAATTTTATATTTAAAAACATAAATTTGTTTATATTATGGTTCACTAAATATAGTTTTTTTGAATATGTACCTATAAAGTATCTAAAATTATTAATATTGTGACTCAATAAATATAATTTTCTTTGAATATGTAATCCATAAAATATCTAAAAAATTGGTAGTCTTAAGCCCTTGCTTAGCCCGCCTACTCTCTGGGTCAGGGTATTTCTTAATTTCTTTCGTTTTTGTTGTGGTTTTTATTTTTGTCGCGTATTGTTTTTGTCTCATATCTTTAAGTAGTTTAATGATAACCATATATACCAAAATTGGAAAAAAAAAAAAAATCTGGTGGTGGAGAAAAATGAAGATCTTGTTGCATGATCATTGATTAGCTCGTGAGCTCTCTATTATAAAAATTTAAAATTTGATTTTTATTTTTTTGGTTAAATGTGTTTAGAATCAACTCTTTCAACAGCTCATAATAAATACTTTTTATGTAAGGTCTTCTGCAAAAAAATAACACCTTTTTACAAGTTTATTCTTAACTTGCAAAAAATGTATAGGTCAAAAGTCAAAACCCACGAGTTATATTTAACACTATTTAATTCGTTTATCTTGGTGTAAAATTGATTCCAAAACATGTTTAGAGTATTCTTCGAACCGAAACTTTCGATTTCACCATCTTATTATATCGTTATCAACCGATTCAAATAAAAGTGTACAAACTATTCTTCCGATTACTGAAATTGGGAAAAGAAAACTCATACGGAAATATCATTTTCCGATTTCTGAAATTTGATTTCATATACGATATATTAAGGTGACGTGATCCCTTTTTTATATTCAGCTATTTTCTTCCACTATTCTCCTAATAAAATGTGCGAAATGTGGTGCTTGTGTTTACCCCACAAAAGCAAAGAAAACGAAAAGAAACAAAATATTAAAAAACAAAAACAAAAGTTGAAAGAAGAGTAGTAGTTAGAACGTCAGAGCTCCTTCCCAGGAAGCTTTCATCATCCATCGAAAATGGCAGATTCAAGAATCGGTCAAACTCTGCCTCCCATTCCAAATTCCAAACCTTTTCCTTCTTCTTTATTTACAAACCCAACAAACTCATTGTCCCCAAATCCCTAACTCCTCGATCCCCTTGTTCTTCCTTTGTCTGAATCCATCTTCTTCCACTAATCTAAACCCTAGAAACAGAGAGAAACAGAGTTTACTCAATTTCTCACTCTTTGCTCTGTTTCCAATGGCTTGTTTCTTGAATTGCGTCCGGTTCGATGTCTCCAAGAGAATCACCGACAAACCCACAAGCAAAGGGGAATCTTTAACCGTCTCCGGCGTCACCTGTTACAGCTGGGATGACGTGGAAGCTCTCACTTCCAATTTCTCTAGACTCATTGGTTCCGGTGGCTACAGCAGTATCTACATGGCTCGCTCATCTACTACCTCCGGTGGCTCTGACAAGGCGGCTCTCAAGGTGCACGTTAGTAGCCACCGTCTCTACAAGATCTTTAGAGTCGAGCTTGATATCTTGCTCCGTCTTCATCATCCCAACATTGTCAAACTTCTCGGCTATTTCGACGATTCTGGTAATATCATCTTCTAAAGAAAACTTTGGATTTTGGTCAATTAAACCTGTACCCATGCCTTAATTTTGCAAAATTTGGAGTCTTTGATCAACATATTAAGTGATTAAACTTGTTTTAGAATCAAATTCTGAATCAATTTTGGATTTTGATCAATTAAGCCTCTTATATGAAGTGTTCATGCCTTATTTCTGAAAAACAAATTGGAGGTTTTGATCAAGATTACTAGTGATTAAGCTTGTTTTAGAATCAAAGTCTGAATCTTTTTTTTTGTTTGAACATAAAGATTTGAGCTTTGTTGTTGTTTGATCAAGATCCCTAGTGATTAAGCAGTTTGACGATATATTGATATTTTTTTTTTTTTATAATTCAGAGGAAAATGGCGCTCTTCTTCTCGAATATCTTCCTCAAGGGAATCTACAGGAGAAGCTACATAGCAACAGCAAGCAAGTCTTGCCTTGGAGGAACCGTATAGCCATTGCGTTTCAGCTACTTCAAGCCATTGAACACATTCACGACAAAATTAGCCCTCAGATCGTTCATGGAGACATCAAATCCTCCAACATACTCCTAGACAAGAACTTGAACTGTAAGCTATGCGATTTCGGGTCAGCGAAAGTTGGTTTCTCTTCAATGGTTCAGCCTTCTACGATGTTGCCAAGATCTAGACAAGTTACAATGGTGGGATCTCCTGGTTACACGGACCCTCACTACTTGAGAACCGGGATTGCTTCAAAGAAGATGGATATGTATGGGTTTGGAGTCGTGGTTCTTGAATTGGTTTCAGGGAAAGAAGCGTTTTCTGCTGAGAGAGGCGAGATGCTGGTTCATATAGCTGCTCCACTTATCAATGAGAGTCTTGATTCAAGTGTAGACATCGCTGGAGAGAGTGTGAGACAGTTTTTGGATCCGAGGCTGTCAAGAGATAGTGTTGATATTGATGAAGTGAAGACAATGCTGAATGTGGCTGCACTTTGTATCAGTAGCCCACCATCTTTAAGACCTTCTGCTGCTCTAGTTGCGGAAACTCTTAAACAGAACATACCATCTTTAAGTTTTCTTGGTTGTGGTAAAGGAGTGTGAATTAATGGCCGTCCAAAGATTTCGGTTTAGGTTAGATTTCTTTTGTGTGAGACGACGACACTGTACAGCTTGTGTGCATTGAGGAGCTCTTCGGAAACAAGAAAGAAGAAAAACCATGTAAATAGTTTGTTTTGTTTTTTTTGTATGTGAATAGCATTTCGTGTAATTATCATTGAACAGTATTTTGAACCGTTGTTTGACTGTTCTGTGTGAAAAAATCTTAGAGAGAAAGAGAACTTTTCTTCATGTCAATGTAATTTAAAAGTCTCACTTGAAGGAGAAGCATATGAATATGATATTGTGATGATGAAGCAAAGTTTATGTGACTTGTAGTGTTTTCAAAGGCTCTGTTTCTCATATTCTTCAAAACATCGTAATTTGCAAGATAGCTTTCTAAGGTCTTTTCTAAGAATAATCACAATTAAGTACATAAAAACCTGAAGTTTGAAATAAAGTTCAATGGAAGACAAATCCCCAAAAAAACTAATTATGGGTTTATCTAAAAACGTTTTGGGTTTCAGTTTCTTGTGAACATGGATTTGGCATATGAATATCTTGAAGATAAGTCTTACCTAAACCGAAATCGGATTGAACAACACTCTTTAACCTACTTGTTTCTGATGATTGGTATGATGTAAAAACTAAAAAGAGATTATTGAACTAAGGTCCATATATCCGAAACCCACAGTAAATATAGATCCGAGCCCGAACAAGTCCAACTCATTTCGATATGTGCGCATGTTTACTATTATTCTTTACAGAATTGTTTTATGATTTATAACTTTGTTAGGATTTCTCCCAGATATCCATTATGTTTATTTTGTGCTTTTCAAACAACAAATTTTACATCAATGTTTTTCATTCAAATAAATTCAAGTTTTGATATTTGAGTACCTTCCATAATAATGTTTACGGCAATGAACCCATCTCTTTCACAATCCTATCATTCCTTCAAGAATATGTTAAAAATACCTAAAAGTATATACTGACACAACATGTTTTAAAATTGAGTTCCAACAAGCTATACCGGATTATTTGGACACGAATCTTTAACAGATGTGTCATGTGTGCATATATGTCTTATGTGTGACTAATGTCTTTTCATTGGTCGATGTTTCTGTTCTTTTTATGACTTTCTCGCGGGACTATTTTTGGATTCTTCCACAAACTCGGGTCTCACTCGTCTACATCGACATGATGGCCATTTTTTCTTTGTAATGGCACATATGCACGAAAATATACCTGATTGATTTGGCCTTAGGAAATGTAATTATGGGCTAAAAGTTTGTGGGATTTAGTCTGTTTCATATTATCTAGAACAGTTTCTGATTTTTAGCCTAACAAAAATGACAGGTTTAAAAAGGTCCACGGGATGACCGGAGTTAACTTGTGCTATAAGGTTTACCCTTTTACCTGTTTGGGGAGGTTAATTTAGGAAGCAGTTTTTTAAAAACTACGGTAATTAGAATTATTGAAAAAATTTTAGGTGTCACCTTCACATTCAAAATAATATATTTTATTGATGACATAAAACTATGACATGATTTTTTTATAATAATAATTTGTGAAATATTGTGATTGGTTAGATTATAATTATTTCAAACAAATATAAATTTTGTTTAATTTGGAATCAAGAGAATAGTGAGAAATACTATGTTTTCACAAATTTATAGATATTCATAATAATTTATGAAATATTGTGATTGGTTGGATTATAATTATTTCAAACAAATATAATTTTTTGTTTAATTTGGAATCAAGAGAAAGTGAGAAATACTATGATTTCACAAATTTTATAGATATTCATAAGAGTAATTTTCATAATTACACTGAAAATAAGTTTTTAGGACAAATATAACAGGAAAGCTAAAATTTTTCTACCCCTAACATTTTTCATTTGATTTTTCCGATTTTACCCTTTAGGAAAGTCTTCCTAAATGTTTGTTTTTCTGTTAATATTGCGTGATTTTTTTTAGGAAGGTCTTCCAAATACTAGAATTTAATATCGTTTGATATGGTTTACGAAAGCTTTCCTAATTTTTTTAAATTTTTCTGATTTGCGGAAGGACTTCCTTAATTGTGGAAGGGTTTCCTGAATTGTAGAAAGACTTTCTGGAAGGATTTTTTGAATTTGAGTTGTAAAATTAACAAAATAATAATCAATTATACGATTTACGAAGACATTCCTAAATACATGTAATGACTTTTTTAATTTATACATTTTAGGAAAGTCTTCCTAAAACTGTAGATTACCTTCCTAAATTTATGCTCATCTTCTTACTCACCTCTGCGACATCCAAACCCTAATTTCCGCCGATTTCTTTTTTTTCACCATTGTTGTTGTTTTAGTTCGGATTTCTTGAGTTTTTCACTCAATTATATCAGATCTATCTATCATTATATGATTTTGAGCTTTAAATCCTGAAATCACTTTCCCACTAAAAAACTCTAAAGATCTAAGAGATTCACAATCACAAATAACAATCAAATGAGAAGAGAGATCCTAAACAAAACAAATAATTCGAATTTCAGATCAGTCTTGGCCATTGATATATTTTTTTTTTTGACAAGCATTGATACATTTGTTTGTACATTATTTTTCTTCTCTTTTTATTAACTAATGTTTTGTCTAACTAAGGTTAATATATACAAAATGTAATGGAAGGAATTTTTAGATTGTTAGTGTATATATGGAACAAAAACTTAGATTAGGTGTATTTGAGGGAATTTCTCTATTCATAATAGATTGCATAATATCTTATTTCATAAATTTACAACAAAAATATATTATAATTTCATATAGAAAAAATAATAAAATTAATAAAAATCTATAAATAAATAATGTTTCTTATATTTTTACCATTAAATTTGTGATTATATTTTATATGTATTGATGAAATACATGTTTTTATCAGAAAAGTTTTTTCTCGTTGTTCAGGAGCAAATTTCGGGATGTCACGTAGAGGTGTGTGATTCGTCCGGGGAGTGGAACCGTGCTTCCGAGTTTCGTCCTCTGAAGGGAAAGGCGACGAGACATTCCGGGGCAGAAGCCTATTTGGATCCTGTTGACAGGGTAGTTGATATATCCGGCCCTGCAAACACTACACATGAGGTCAATCGGGCCTCGGGGAAGACCGAAAAGGGGTTTCCCTCCCGAAGGTTCTCTGACGCCCAAGTTAATGAACGCCCTACCAGGAACAAATACTCAGGAGAATGTTTCTACATGTTCGAGCGAGAAGTCTCGTCCGGGGATCAAGACGTGTATCTGTTTTCGAGTGTTTTGAGGGGGTTCCATACAGAAAGAGGGAGATTCAGCAGGTATAAAGGCGGAGTTCCGGGTCAAGAAGGACTTATCCTAGTAGGCATTCTATCGAGGGAACATGGGGTTCTCTCTCGATCATGCTGTTCAGCGGTGCAAGTGGGTTCAGTTTGGTGGGATGTCTCCTCCTTGAGAAGGGTTTCAGGTCCGCCCATCCCCCCTCTTATGATGTGGTGATCTCTCTCCTTTTATATAAGCTTTCTCCCTGTCATGTCCTCTCCATTCGATGCGCCAGAGGAGCAGGTGGGCCAATGATTCATGCGTGTTCGTGGAAGCGTGCTAACTGCCCGGAAACAGTACGCGGAGTGGTTCGGCCGAGCTAGGAAGGCGTGTGTTAGTGTCTAGGACAGGTTAGCGTCCACGTGTCGCGTCACCCTTGGGGGTCGATAAAATCGGTCCCAAAAATTTCCCTCAACTTCTCGACTGATTGTGAAATGAGTCGGGGAGTTGATCTCTCTTGGGTTTTCTGCGCAATAGACATAAGTTATCCATTCCCTAGGTGTTCTGCCATTAAAGGCCACACTGACGCGACGACTTTGCCGCATATCCGGGGGATACGATACTAGTATGGGCGAGGCTAAGCTCTTAAAGGTGGTAAAATAGGGACTCATCCAAGTCGTACTACGTATCCAGATGGAATACGGTACTAACTGGAAGGTTCGGACTGCCGGGGAAGTAGAGATAAGACGTCAACTCCGACCTTGCCACGTATCATGAAGGAGTACGGTCCCAGTCGGAGGAGCGACTGAAAGAGGTTTTCAACCCTGACCTTATTCATATATCCCGATGGAGCACATTATCAATCAAGGGAATCATACTTCCGGAGAAGCGAGCCGCGGGGCAGTTTAATAGATGTCAACTCCGGCTTTACTCGCATCCGGGGGAGTACGTTATTGATCGAAGGAATTATACTTCTAGGGGAATCGAACCGTGAGACGGTCATACTAGATATGTAGGACTCGCCCGCATCCGGAGGAGTACGTCGTTTGGCCGGGGGAGCTAGATGATGGAGTTCTACCCTGACGGGGACATGCATCCACGGAAGTACGACGCTTGCTCAGGATAAGAGGATAGGCGTTCCCGTAGGAACTGATAGCTTGGCCACTGGTGGACATCTCCCTGGAGGGATTTTACTTCTTGTTTCGTGGGGCACTAGACAAGAAGCCGCCTTGCCCCCTCTCATCAGAGTCATGAGTGAGGTAATAGTCTTATGTGACCATGGGGATCGACATAAGACAAGGACGCGGGCTAAAATACCGGCCCAGGGGCAAGAGGTGGCACCGTTGGACGGATGAATAGATGTTTCTTGCGTTGCGGGGCGCTAATGCAAGAGGGAGTCGTTACTCGAATGCAGCTGGTGCAGAGTAGGGCGTTTCCCGAGGGCGTTACCTCGACTCCCTTACTGCCTGGAAAATCTTTGTGTTGTGCTTACGCGGAATTTTCTGGGTTTTGATAACGTGCTTGTGATATACCCCAGAGGGGAAGAAGTCAGGAAATTATCAGGAAGAGAAAGCCTGCAAGTCGGAGACCTCAATTCTTGTGGTGCCTGAGTGGCAAGCATGTCCTCGGGAGGAGCATACTGTTTTGTCGCACGGCCCGCTGGAGGGGAGTAGCGAGGAAAACCTGGAGGTCTGAGAGGCCGGAGCCTTAGTATCAAGAAGGGAGGGTGCCCCGGAGGGCGAGCAAGTCTGCGGGAGAGCATGCTGATACAGAGGTTTTTAAGCTCTTACTCAATCACCCCTTGTACTTAAATCAGTTGTAGTATAGGGGTTTTATGTCAATCCATAGGGAGTTGTTGAAAAGCAAAAGAGTTGCAAGCAGAAGTCCTTAAGTTAAGCAAGCAAATAGGATTTTTGTTGCCTAAGCAACTGAACTAACAACCTAAAGTGATCAGTAACCAAAGAGAACTAAAAAAGAGACAGTTTAGCAATGATCAAAGAAGCAAGACAGAGTAAATAACAGAGCACTTAAACAAATTCAAAAGAGAAAGAGAAAGCAAGTTCCTAGATGTGGT